TCTGAATAAGAGAAATGAATATAGGAAACTAAGTAAGAAATATATCTGGCTTCTAAATAAAATGAGAGAAAGAATAGCCACTGAGTAAGAGAAGACTAGACTAAGCTGGAGCTTGTTTTTGAACCTCAAATTGCCAACCAACTCGGAGTTGTTACATACACACGCAAACACACACCCATGAAGCTGTAACAAGACTCAGGACTACTCGAACATACTATAGTCCAAGGCAACACTCCTTTGGTATCCGATGAGGCCAATCTCTTCGACTATCTTTCTCAAACAAAATGAAAGTTATGCCAGAATCAAAGCATAAGTTATCCAACCAAAGCATGGGCAACAAAGACAAGGTAGAATTACAGTCGATAACGTTAATGAATTATTGTAATGCCTGCTCTTCAGCTTTAATGACGTTTCTCACATGAAGGTCAAAAGCTCGGCGAGGATTTATCGTAGTTGTGAGACGGCACATATCTAGAGCCACAACTACAAAGTAATTCTCTTTGACTTCCAGTGATACTAATTAACGAATCTCTTCCACTCGCCTCTTCGAACGAAGTGAAATGTACTTTACATATATCAATTGAAGTTGGTAAATCGTCCACATTTGGTATGACCTCATTACTAAATTATTTTTACCACACTAGGTTATCTTTCTTTCCTAGGAAACGGAGAATTTGCCAAAGCTATAAATCGTAAATTCAAGAAAAGAACACTATAAACACTAAAAAGCTAAAGGAGACTGCGACCATACCAGAGGCCACACCATCTTGGTCTTCAAATCTTCAAGAAAAGAATATCTCATACATTGGTCACACTGACTCTAAATGGAAAGATATTTGTGTTTACACGCAATTCAGTACAATTCAGGAAGGTTGTTAAAGTATATCGTATATCATTTTTGTAATGTGATATAAGATTGCATTTTTCTGTGATTATGCAGACTTCTGGAAAGCTGTTAGAGTTCAACATCAGAAGACAAGCGACGTGTAGTGTATATCAATGTGTGTAAGTGAATAAAAGCTTACTATATACTCTT